GGGTGGGGGAGGGAAGGATGGTGTTAAGGGCCTGTTTTTTTCCTCCCATCCCTTTCCTCTTTAGTCTCCCCACTCTCTGTGCTTTCTCACTTGTGGCCCTCGTGAAATGGGACCAGTCAGAGCCCTCTTTGTACACAGACAGGGGAAGCAAGTGAGAGGGTTTGCCAGCCTCACCTCTCGAGGGTGGCAAACCTCACGAGGAGGCAGCCCCCTCCCCAGTCCTACCTCCCACACCAGCTTCTGAGCCCGGCCCTTGTCTCCAAGTAGGCTCTGACCAGCAGAAACAAGTACTCGGGCTTCAGGGCTCTCCCGAGCATGGTTTCCCCATTGCCTGTTTGGAGTTTCAGACCTGGGGCCTGGCCGACCAGGCCTGTGGTAGTTTGAACAAACGTTCTTGCTGGGAGCTGGCCAGAGCTCTGAGCAGCAGGGTCCTTGTCTTGTGGGCAGAGCTGGGCACTGATGCTGATTTCCTGGATTGTGGTGGGGAGATGGGAGAGGCAGTGGAGCATGTCCTCTCTGAGGGAGGGGATGGAACTGCAGCCTCACAGATGATGTCATCCCAGGCAGAAGAGCTGGATAGATGAGCTGGGGGGATTGGCCCAAGGCCCAGTTAGCAGGAGGGTGAAGGGATGTCCCCAGGACAAGGCAGCTGAGTATTCCCAGATTTGGGGGTGATGTCCAGCTCCCTCTCTTCCCTAGTCTCTGCAAGAGAGCCCCAACCAAGATTCGCCTGGTTGGTTGTCGCATGTGTCTACCCACTGTCCTGCCAAGGGTGTCTGTGTGCTCACGAGGCACCAGGAGCTCCCCCAACACAGATGTCCTCCCCCACAGCTCAAGGAGGGGGAGGGTAAACTGGCCCTGGTCGCATAGGCTGGGGGGGTGCATAGGCTCAGGCAGGAGCGACTGGATCCCAGGGTTGGGGGGTGGTGCTGATAGCTTGTTTCCACCTGCACATTCTTGGCACACCCAGTGCTCTCACCACAAAGCCAGTACCTACTGCTGCCTACTTACAAAATCCCCTACATCCCTTCCCTGCTTCCTGGACCGACCTCCACCTTCCCTAGTTGCCTCCACTTTCAGCTGGCTTGGAACAACCATGTTTGCAGCGGGTGGTGGGGTGGTAACGACGACGGGAGAGGGCCCCACTCACCAGGGTCTCCCCTCCTCTTCCCAGGAGCAGTCAGGGCTTCATGCACATGAAGCTGTCCCGGACCAAGGAACACAAGTATGTGCTGGGCCAGAACAGCCCGCCCTTCAGCAGCGTCCCTGAAATCGTGCACCACTACGCCAGCCGCAAGCTGCCCATTAAGGGGGCCGAGCACATGTCCCTGCTCTACCCCGTGGCCATCCGGACTCTGTAGGTGTGAGGCCTGGGCATTGTGACAGATCTGGACCCAGCCCTGTGTTCATCCCCTGGCTGAGGGCTGTGGCCCTTCCTGGGCCACATGATCTCTCAAACCTTTCTTGGCACTCTCCCTGGAATCCAGTGGCAGCTGGAGATTCCTTAATTTATTCTAAAGGGAAGGACTACTGGAGCCTTGGAGTAAGAGGTGGTCTGGAGCTGAGGATGGAGGACTCCCTGGGGAGAAAGGATAGCCCCTGGAGGAAGGGATTTCAGAATCGCTGATCTCCTGAGGAGTTTAAGATAAGACAGCTCCAGCCCCTTTCTTCCCCTAGGGCAGAGGTGGCGACCTCCTCCCCGCCACCCTCTTTACCCAGGGATGGAGAGGTGGATTGGGAATGGAGCTGGACGCGGGCCCTCGGGGTGCTCTAACCACCTCTCCGCCTACACCCCCAAACCACCGGCGGGCTCCGCCAGAGTCTGGTGCGGGGCTTCGGGGAGACAGACCCCTGGGATGGAGGCCGCATTGGGGGTGGGGAAGGAGGGGAAGGGCTCGGCCGGAGGGAACTTGTGCAGGCCCGGGGCCGCCCCGGCTCCGGGCCAGAGGCAATAAATAAACCCAGTCCTGCCAGGCACCGCCGCTTCCGCGCCTCCAGCGCCGCAGCTCCCTCCCGCCCCCTCCTCCCCCCAACCCTGGCTGACGGGGGAGGGAGTTGAGCGAGCACAGATTCTGTTTATGAATCAGCTCTGGAGCGGACACAGGCGTTTGTGAAAAGCACTTTCGAAGCATCAAGTTCCTTCCTTTGACGAGATGTCAAAACATCCCCCCTTGCCCCCGCCCCGGCTCGGGGCACCAGAGCCGGCTTGCCGCGCGGCGCCCCCTCCCCGCCGCCCCGACGAGCGCGGCTCCCAGAGAGCGCATCTAATTTCCTGCCAACAGCCATTTGTCTGGGAGGAGGGGAGCCACGGAAAGACAAAGAGGCAGCGCGCCAGGCGGGAGGGAGCAGGGCGCCCCTGCCACGCGGAAGCCGCGCGCCGGCGGAGGCGGGAAAGCTGGCGGGCCGACTGCGTTTCCTTTCCAGAGGAAGCGGGGGCCTGCCGCGCCTCCCGCGGCCCCGGGCCGATGGGTCCGACCCCGAGACCTGCAGCCGGCCAGCCCGGGCCCGGATCTCCCTCGTGGCTGTGGCGTCTGGCGGGGCCGTCCGCGCGCGCCCCCTGCTGGCCGCGCCTCTACCGGAGGGGCCACACCGCCCGCGGCCCTGGCGGACCCCCAGCCCGCGCCCGCAGCTGGAACCCGCCGAGGCCTGGGGCCCAGTCCCTGGGGAATACCACCGGGCCGCCAGGCGGAGCTGCTGTCAAACCACTCCAGGCCCGCCCTCCCGCTCCCACGAGCAAGCTGAACAGAAGCTCCCA